AAAACAAATTCTGCTCTGTAAATTTGCACCTAAAGCATAATTTAAAAAAAGAAAGAGAGAGAGATTTCTGCAGTCAAATAAGTTTAGGAACTGCTACATTGTATATTTCTCTTTTGTGTATTCAAAAATATATTAAGGGTTGTGAGAATTCCTTGAATAAAAATACTGACTTAAGATGTTTAACCTAGTGTTTCCAGAGTATTTGGCTTTGAAAACCCTCATCTCCTTTTCTTTACATATCTCATTGCTGGTATTTTCTAGAAATCGTGATCTAAGGTAGGAGATAAAAAATGGATCATCAGTATGTTAGTCCAGTTCAAAGAAAAGACTTTTACCCATGATAATTCACCATTAGATAGACAGTAGCTGTTTGAGTCTCAGAAGCAAGTCACTTCATTGATCTTTCAGATTCCTTATCTGTGTAATCAAGATGGCAGTACATGCTCTGCCTCACAGAGCTTTGTGAAAATTAAATTACAACTATGAGGTAAACAAATGATGCTGGATGGAGTTCACATGATAGAATTTTGCAAAACCAATGACTTATTCATTGCAAATACCTCTTTTCAATGACATAAAAGGTATTATACATGTGGAGCTCACCAGAGGGAATACACAGGAATGATTGACTACATCTGTGGAAAAAGTTGATGGAGAAGTTTGATATAAACAAGGCAGGAGCTGACTGTGGAACAGACCATCAATTGCTCATATGCAAGTTTAAGTGGAAGCTGAAGAAAATTAAAACAGGTCTATGAGAGCCCAAGTATGACCTTGAGTATATCCCAACTGAATTTAGAGATCATCTGAAGAATAGATTTGATGCACCGAACACCAGTGACTAAAAACTAGAAGCGTTGTGCGATGACATCAAGAATATCATATGTGAAGAAAGCAAATGGTCATTTGAAAAAAAAAAAAAAAAACAGGAAAGAAAGTAAAGACTAAAATGGATGTCAGAAGAGACTCTGAAACTTGCTCTTGAATGGAGAGTTGCTAAAGTGAATGGGAGAAAAGACAATGTAAAAAGCTGAACAGAAGATTTCAAAGAGCAACTCAAGAAGACAAAGTAGAGTATTATAATGAAATGTGCAAAAACTAGGAATTAGAAAACCAAAAGAAAGGATCATGCTTGGCATTTTTCAAGCTGAAAGAACTGAAGAAAAATTCAAGCTTCAAGTTGCAATATTGAAGGATTCTATGGGTGAAATATTGAATGATGCAGGAAGCATAAAAAGAAGATTGAAGAAATACATAGAGTCACTGTACCAGAAAGAATTGGTTTATGTTCAGCTATTTCAGGAGGTAGTATATGATAAGAAACAATGGTTTTGAAAGAAGTCCAAGCTGCACGGAAGACATTGGCAAAAACACAAGACTCCAGGAATTGACTGAATACTCATTGAGATGTTTCAACAAATGAATGCCTCACTGGAGGAGCTTATTCATCTATGCCAACAAATTTGGAAGGCAGCTACCTAGCCAACTGACTGGAAGAGATCCATATTTGTGCCCATTGCAAAGAAAGGTGATCCTACAGCATGTGGAAATTATTGAACAATATCATTAATATCACATCCAAGTAAAATTTTACTGAAGATAATTCAAAAATGATTACAGCAGTATATTGACAGGGGACTTCCAGAAATTCAGGCCAGATTCAGAAGAGGACGTGGAACAAAGGATATACTTGTTGATGTCAGATGGATCTTGGCTGAAAGAAAAGAACACAAGAAAGATATTTACATGTGTTTTATTGAGTATGCAAAGGCATTTGACTATGTGGATCATGACAAATTATGGATAACATTGAGAAGAATGAGAATTCCAGAACACTTAATTGTGTTCATGAAGAACCTGAACATAGACCAAGAAGCTGTCATTCAAACACAACAAGGGGATACTGCACGGTGTAAAGTCAGGAAGGGTATGCATAAGGATTGTATCCTTTCACCATACTCGTTCAATCTGTATGCTGAACAAATAATCTGAAAAGCTAGACTGTACAAGGAAGAATGTGGCATCAGGATTGGAGAAAGACTCACTGACAATCTGCACTATGCAGATGACACAACCCTGCCTGCTGAAAATGAAGATGACTTGAAGCACTGATAAAGACCAAAGACTACAGTCTTCAGTATAGATTACATCTCAATGTAAAGTAAACAAAAATCGTTACAACTGGACCAATAAGCAACATCCCAATAAATGGAGAAATGATTGAAGTTGTCAAAGATTTCATTTTACTTAGATCTGCAATCAACACTCAAGGAAGCAGCAGTCAAGAAATCAGACATTATATTGCACTGGGCAAATCGGCTGCAAAAGACCTCTTTAAAGTGCTAAGAAGCAAAGATGTCACTTTGAAAATTAAGGTGCACCTAACCCAAGCCATGGTATTTTCAGTTGTCTCATATACATGTGAAAGCTGGACAATGAAGACCGAAGACCAAAGAAGAGTTGAGGCCTTTGAAGTATGGTACTGGTGAAGAATACTGAGAATACCATGGCCTCCCAAAGAATGAAAAAATCTGTCCTGGATGAAATGCAGCCAGAATGCTCTTTGGAAGCTAGAATGGCCAGATTTCATCTCACCTACTTTGGTCATGTTGTCAGAGGAAACATTCCCTGGAGAAGGATATTATGCTTGGTAAAGTAAGGGGTCAGCAAAAAAGGGGAAGACCCTTAACAAGATGGAGTGACACAGTAGCTGCAACGATGGGCTCAGGTATAGCAAGGATAGTGAAGCTGGCACAGGACTGGGCAGTGTTTCGTTCTTTTGTACATAGGGTCACTATGAGTTGGATTCAACTCAACAGCACCAAACAAAACATTAATGAGAGAAAGGATCCTTGGTGATAGAATAGTTAAGAACTCAGCTGATAACCTAAAGGTTGCTGGTTCAAACCCACCAGCTTCTCCACTAGAGAAAGACCTGGCAATTTACTCCTGTAAAGATTACAGGCTAGAAAACCCCATGGGACAGTTCTGTTCTATCATATGTGTTGCTGTGAGTCAAAAATCAACTCAACAGCACATAACAACATGAGTGAAAGAAGTTTGAAGTCTGTATGATACCTATAAATACTGTATTTTCTAATTTCTTTAATTCATTGATTATAATACATACCATTTAACCACCTATACACTGTAAAATTTTTATAAGAATTATCATGATTAAAGACATATTAAAATGTAAGGGGTGGGGTTATTTTTCCTCTCCCTAGATCATTCTGACTCTTTCATCAAGTTGCTCTGTTCATGTGAGACAAAAAAAAGATTAAATAATAGAAATTGATTCTAAGGTTAATCTTTATAATATAAAAGTTAAATGCTAATATCATCTTCTCAGTACAAACTAGTTTGAAATACACCTGGTTTTCTACTTAACTTACTAAGTTACTTGGTTCTTTATCAGACATGTACCTTAAAGTTTGACTTTCTCTTTAAATCTGTGGCCTTCCTTAGAGTGACATTAATGTCATAATTACATTTAAGAAACTCCTGAGTAGATTTTGTCTTACTTGAGATTTTATCATTGTATAAAACGAATCTGTGTTTTTCATGTGATAGAGGGTCCAGATGGAAATGATTAACGGTAAATACTACCTATGAAGGAAAAAAGACTGTCAGAACTGTTCAGGGGAATTATTCCTGAACTGTAGTAGCTAGACTGAGTCACCAGCATTACTGTCCTTGAACAAATCGCTAAAATTGGTTCACCTTATTTAGTAGCATCATCATATACTCTGTGTATTAATTATAATAAGGTTTGACTGCAAGTATAGTAAAGCCAATAATTTTAAAGACTACTGCTCTCTCATGTCCTCAAGATAAATGGAGGCACAATTGGCATGATATACTGCAAAAAATATTGTTCCACATCCTTCTTTGGCGAGTAGTGAGTGGAATCTTAAAAGCTTGCAAGTGGCCATCTAAATGCAATGATGGGTCTCTCCTCGTCAAAAGCAAAGAAGAATGAATAAAACCAAAGATTCATGGAAACAGTCTGAGCAACTGGTACACCATGCAA